TGGGAGAAGAATGTAAGTTGGAGTCAATCCCAATGTGGTGTCAGCAAAGATCTGTGCATAATCTGCAAAAGATGTGTGCAATAGACCACCAATAGGCCCAAGAGATGCTAAGGAACACATGTGGAAAAAAAGAAAAGGTGTCAGATGTCAGACACGTGCATGCATATGCTTCCTGCAAAGTGATTTTGTTTCACCTGAAATAAACTCAATTTTGTAACAACAATTATTTGTGGACAACAGAAAACTTCTTTAAAACGTTCTCTAGTAAAAATAGCAAGAAAATATATCACAGAATCAAACAATTGTTGCAATGTGTATGTATGCACTGTACTAGTCATTTGTTGTTGTTTTTTTGGTTTTGGTCATTTAATTTAAAAACTTTCTCAGGTATGAGTGAAATTCATCAAACAATGGTCAAGTTGTACATACTGGGGATGTTTTTTTCCTTCCAAAATTGTTGATATTTCTGTGAGGATTATAAATGGAACTTTATGCTCTGTTACAGGCAGTATTTACAGCCTTATTACTATATAGATTTTTGTATCGTATTTGGTAGAAATAACTACCATTCATTTACTGTTCACACTTCAAGTGTTATAACGTTTAACTAACTAGGGGATTTGAATTGAAATGTTGGTTTATTTTGTCGATTATATGGTTTTCAATTAAAACGAGATAATTATAAAGGACATATATATATATATATATATATATATATATATATATATATATATATATATATATTATAAAGTAACCAAGAAGACTGATGTAAACATTCCAATACAAAAGAGAATAAATAAATGCATAGGTACAGTCCATTCAAGCACAATTGAAAGAACAGCGGATAAGAGAAAGGGAAGTCTTGCATCTCTGTGCTCAACATGAAATGAACAGGAAAGGAAACCGTACAAAGTAAGAAATGACATGAGGTGACACAAGTGACCTGGCATATTGTTGCAGCTCAGAAGGGCTTGCAACATTCAATTCTGCTATTGTTTGAGAGCCTTTTTATCAGAAATGCAACACTTATTCACACAAACACCCACACATCACTTTCAGTACAAAATCCCCCACACTTCACCTCCAAATCCCCTTTGTGCACTTGTCCTTCTCCTGTGCTCACAGCAAGCATGTGCTTCACTTGGTTATAATTCCCCCCATGTACCCTGAACATAACCCAGTAGCAGCTGCAGAGAACTTTGCCTTCCAGTTTGAATAAACAAAAAGGTGGAGAAAAAAGGAGGAATCTCTTGTTCAAGCTACATACAGTTAAAACTGGATAATTACTGTATAAAAACAACTAAGCTGTTTTTCCATCACTGCCAAATATTAATTAGATATATTTTAGATTGTGTATTTTCTTCATCAAACCTAGAAACTAACAGGCCTCAGTATTTTTTTTTTTTGTTTTGCCCTTGAAACTGTACAATGTGGGTCAAACATTTTTGGTTTTACCTTACATGTTTTCAGCTATGTTAACAATTTTTTTGGAAGGCATTACTGAAATTAGCTGAGCTTTTCCATGGTCAAAACACTGGCTACTCCAAATAGTCCAATTATTAATGAACACAAAGTGTTTTCTTTTCTGAGGTGTTTTTCTCTTTTGCCAGTCTCTCTTCCTCTATGACTTTTTAGACCAAAATCAATGTAGGACTAATTTTACTTTAATTAGTGGCAATCATTTTGCAGCTTAAATCAGAATCTAAAAGTCTATTTGTTCTGTTCTAAAATTTACAGGCATACTTTAAATGCATATAAACCCATTTTTTTCTGATACCTTCTAAGTCTTCTTTTGTTTTTGTTTGTTTTTTTTCTTTTCATGATGTCCCACAAGGATTATCCACAAGTCTCTTTCCATTTTACTCTAACATTGTGAGTTAACTTAAAATGCCAGAAATCCCCATATAATGATTCACATTTTCTGTTGCTATTGTAATAATTCTATATGTAACACAACATTTTTATTTAAAGCCAGTGATTAAAAAAAAAATTGTGTGTTTTTATTCAATGTTTATAAACATATCTTTTCAACTGGAGAAATTATTAATTCTCTCACAATATACTCAAGGGGATTGTTGGCCTCGTGGGTTAAAGCAGTGCGCTTGTGCTCTGAGAAGGTTGCAAGTACCGGGTTAGATCCCCACAGCCCTGTAACCCCTGATTGCTCCCCGGGCGCCACACAATGGCAGCCCCCTGCCATCCAAGGGGATGGGTTAAATGCAGATGTAAATTTCTCCAATTTTAGATCAATAAAGTTTAGTTAAAAAATATCAAAATACATGTTCTGTAAAAAAGTATTTTGACTACATACAAATCTATATCTACTGTAAAGAAAACATTCATAGTATCAAGGTGCAACTGATCAGAAAGTGGAAATTTCCTTTTTTTTTTATTCAAAGGAAATGTTTACCATGTCCTGCAATTTGAAAATCATATTTATTCAATTACAATTGTTAAAAAAATGTGAAAACCAAACAAAGCTAGCCTTTTTTTTTATTACACCTATTTTATAAAAGATATATTCCAGAAGTCCCCAGCAATGCTAACTTGTGCATAGAAATGATTTGACATGACAAGATGATTAGTCACAGGGCACTGACTGTGCAAATTTGTCTCCTTCATAAAATAACTGTATGGCACTGAGTGAGCTACATTCCCAGCACTTAATCACATAAAGCGGATTACATTTGCATGTTTCAGCTGTGAGGTAGAGGCAAACCAGAGGAGCAGCAAATTGACTTAATAATCTCATCTGACAAGTGACAATTTCTCCACTTCTGTTCTATCAGAAACATTATGTTTGCTGCTCAGTTTGATGCGTCTGGCTGCGCTGATGATTCAGCATGTAAATGTGCCATAGGGACTGATTTAACAACTTTGCTGTGAACGAGTGAAAGAACTAGTAATAATGTGGTGGAACGTGCAAATCACTGGCAAAGGAAAAATTGTAAATCAGATTGAACGGTGTTCACAGCAGCAATAAGGGCTGACAGCTCGCAGCCCATGCACTTTGTTGTATTGTATTTTTTGTATTATTTCACTATACAACTCAAAAAGTATTACTATCTGTAAAAGTATTTAGAGATTTAAAGATCCACTCTGTAAATGATTCCTAGTTACTGTTTTGTTTTAACCCAGGCCAGTTCTGTATAATTTAGAAACATACACACATATCATGTAAAATAAATATGTATATTTTTGAAAAGTAAATTTTTCAATATTTGAACTCAAAACACTACTTTCAAAAACAAACAATAAAACGGTATATTTTAAGTGATTGCTTTTCTTACTTTCTTTGATTATTACTTATAACTAATAGTACACAGACAGACAGACAGACAGACAGACAGACAGACACAGAATAATTTGTCTGTCAGATTTAGGAAAATCGGGATTCTTGCTGTATTTTGGTGAGCAAAACTCGAACAAAGTAGTGTCTGTCTGAATAGCTGTACTGTTTTTTAAACAAGTGGGCATAATATTATATTATGATAATATATATAAAACCCAAAACTGAAACTCAAACTGTTGTATTGGAATACAAACTCAATCTTTTTTTTTTGTCTCAATAGAACACAGACTCAATCCTTTTTGACTGGTTTTTGTTTAAAGAGGAAATAAGAAGGAGTAAAATTATATAATTGTGCATACACCCCATAAGTAAAAAAAAAAAAAATTACAAAAAAAAAATAATAACTCAAGTGACTGGTTTTAAGTTACAAAATGAAAGCAGAACTCGACCTCTCCTTCTTTCTTGGCCCTCTTTGAAACTGGTACCGCCAATCTTTTCCACAGTGAAACAAGGTTCATCTCTGCCAAGTTCAGCGTGGGTCAGGGAGCTGAACCAGAGCCAGGAAGTCTGGTTAGTGTTTAAGCTGAACAGAGCACTTCTGATTTCTGATTTCATTCAACAGTTAGCCGTTATTTTCTATTTAAGAATGCCTTGCTGTGATGCCTGGATGAAATCCCAACAAGGGAACAGATGGGGAGCATAATATAGTACTCTCACTATCTAGAATCAGGCAACACTCTTAACCTGTAACATATTCTGGAGGCAATTCTCTTATAAAAAAAAAAAGGAATAGGATGTGGCTTTAAGTGTATTACTACATGTCATACTGACTAAAAAAGCACTCCACATAGAGTCAGTCTGGGGACATTAGTCCAACAGCTGAAGGTTGGATGAAATGACAGTCATCCACTGGGACAATAATCTCAAACACACGGATAAAAAACCTTTTAAAATGCTCTTACAAGTTCTTAGGAGAAAACTAGGGAATGCAAAAAGGAAACTTGAACAAATAATTTCTCATAAATGCAACGATGTGAGGGCTAAAATTCCTGCACCTCTATTTACATAATGTGATGAGGTTAGACAAAGAGCAGTGTCCTACAACTATAACATCGGGTTTTTGCTAAAAAATAACAATATGTTTTCATATTTAAAAGAAGTACCTTTCTTTGACCTGGATAAGTGAGAACCTTCACCTTCATGAAGTACCTTTCTGCTTTTGAGTTATTAAATAAAATACATAATCAGTTGTTAATATGAAACAAGTTTTTTATATGTAGAAACTAACTAAAACGATGATTTTCAATTAAACCTTCAGCTTGTTTCAGTACATTAACATAGAGTAAAAACAAAAGAAACATCAAAAGGTACTTAACAAAATATAGTTTTATTCATTTTTTTCATTTACTTATTGTTAATGATTATAAATTATTTATTATTTGGGATGAAATAAGTACAAGGGGATAGGCCAAGATCTTTTATTTTTTTTATTTTTTTTTACCTCAGCCCATTTTTTTGATAAAAAAGTTCTCTATGTGTGTGTTATTTAAATTGGGCAGATGTGTATTTATATGTATACAAACTTTTGTCTGTGTATATTGATGTGTATTGGATTTGTTGCCTATCATTTACTTAATACGAAAAAAATAAAAAAATAATAATGTCAGGAAAAGACACTTAAACATAATAAAAGGAAATAAATGCTCACTCCTGCTCCTCTCCTCCTCCATCTTGGGGTAGGCCATGTTGCTGCTTGGGTAGGCGTCTTCCTCCTGGCTTGGCGTTGATCCAAGTGGATAACTTACAGGACGGGAGGTGGTTACAGAACTGGATGGTCGGGAGCTTGCACAGTTCTACAAAAAATTACCAGTTAGGAGATGATTTGTTAATTAAAAGAAGAACATTATTCGGTCCTCTTACCCTGTTGTGTTATAACATATAAATGTCCTTTAACTTTGTTTAAAATGTTCTTACTTTGAAACAAAGTTTCATATTAATACATGAAACTCAATGTAGAACCTTAGTTTATACGTGTTCATTATTTTTTATTCCCAATGCAATGGACTTTTTATTTAACAAGAATTACCTGATTTATTTCTGCTCTATGCTCCGTCTACATAGAGTTTGGAGGTTCCACCCATTCTTGTGTGGTTTCCCAGGTACCCAGGCTTCCTCCCATAGTCAAAAAGCATGAGTACTGACTTTTATTTCCAAACTGAAATTTTTTACATCAATGGTTGTTTGTATTTTGTGTCTCTGTTTTGTTTTGCAATAGACAGACAACTTGTCCATGGTGTACCACACCTCATGCCTAATGATTGCTGGGGACAGACACCAGCTCCCCCAAGACTCTCCATTGAAAAGTACATATAGACAATAGATGAAATGAAAATTTATTCAACCTGGAGAGACTCACACAGAGAAAAGCTGCAATTAGAAAATATTACATTTATATATACGGGTAACACAATCATATTCTGTAAAATATTTCTATCTAAGGAAAACCTGCTGATTGCAAGAATTCATTGAATCTCTCCAATCCCTCACATTAAGCATGCATAAAGCAAAAGCGGAAAGGAAAACTTCCTTTTAACAGGAGAAACTTCCAGTAGAACCAGGCTCAGTGTGAGCGGCCATCGACTCTTACTTGGAGAACAGGGACTTTTTTGTCAGTAGGTAACTTTACATCTGAGACCAGAAAAATGACATATGGGTTCTCCAAATGTCCATCTTAGGGCCCCTACTATTAAATATGTACCAGGTCCACCTGAATCAGCTTAAAACAGACAAAACATAAGTAACCATAACTATGCAGAGGACACAGAGCTGTACCTTCTGATGTCTCCAGATGGCTATGAACCCATTTAAGCAGTGGGTAAACACATAGAAAAAAAAAACAAAAAGAAAAAAAATTATTCATTGCTTTGCAAGAATCTTCTTTATCTCATTTTTTCCCTCAGTGTTTTATTGTTATTACACTGTCACAAGTACAAAGCAAAAAAATTAACTCTCTGCATTTTACCCGTCTCCATGGGGAGCAGTGGGCTGCCATTGTGTGGCACCGGAGAGCAGTGCAGGGATAAGGGTCTCTGTTTTTAAGTTATAAAAAGTGACCCAGAGTGGGTCAAACTCGAACAGGGGCTCGAACTCAGGACCTAAGGATTCCAAGCTCAATGCCCTAACCACTAGGCCACCATTCCAAAGCAGGCATTAGCATGAGGGATCTTGTCTAAGGACCCACACTGTCAGCCGGGATACAAACCCAGGCTTCCTGTTGCAGGACGGGTGACTTACCACTTGAGCTAGCCAGCCACTAAATCAACACAAATCCGAAATAAAAACTTTTGGATCAAGGAGGTGCATAAAGAAGGTAATAAGTCTGGTATCACCTGAAGAACATTTCCAAGATTAAATGATTAAAGTCTTAAAAGGCTTTTCTAAACTAATCCATGTTTTTATCTTTAGTTTATTTGATTACAGCCTTCATACTTCTGTCTAAAATATTAATCATACAGTGGTAGATTACCCAGAATGCTGCTGCCCACATCCTCACTAAAACTGAGTAGAGCATGTCAGCCAAGTTCTAAAGTCTGTCCACTGGCTTACCGTATATCAGAGAATATGCTTTAATATACTTCTGCAAGTCCTCTAAATAACTTAATGGCTTAGAACCAAAGTACATTACACCCTTCTTGTCAGTCTATCAACCATCCAGATCTCTCAGGTCTTCTGGCTTAAGTCTACTCTACAAAACCAAAAACGGATAAGCAACTTATAGTTCTCATGCTTCGCAAATTTGGAACAAACTCCTAGGAAAACTGTTAAAGTCTTGAAACCCTAAGTTGCTTTAAAAGCTAGGGGGAAAAGAAAATTATTTTAAGTTTGAAGTCCAGTTTTTTTTTTTTATCTGTTTCGATAATACCACTTCAATGACTCACCTCGTATTTTTATTTTTTATTTTCATCTTCGTGCAAAGCACTTTGATATGTCTTGCTACGGAAATGTGCTTTTTGTGACTGAAATCCCAAGCAACAAAAGCCTAACTTTGTTAAGGTGAGTCCTGCAAAAAATATGCAGTCAGTCCTGTCCACCTGTAAAATCTACTTATTTCATTTGATTGATTTGAAGTGTTATGTCTGATTTCTAAATATTAAAAAATAAAATCTCTTCCTTATTTATATCTATATTTCAAGGGTGTTATGGCCGGGAAGCAGCGGGAGGAGGGAGATTTTTATTTGGACTCTGCAAGTGACAGCTTTATTTCACAAAGCAATCTGACTGTGTGTGTGCTAAAGGGAGGTCAGGGTAGGTCAAGAGGTATGTAGCATCACACGGGCCGGCGACACAGCTAAAAGTGGCAATGTATGTCTGAGTATATTTATATATCCATACAACACAGCCGTTTTAGAAAGAGAGGATGATTTGTACACCCGAATATAGAACAATAAGGAGGAAGAGGTCGAAAGGGGTCGACAACAGTGTGGAATTTAAAAAGGTGCAATTTCCTGATTGGGTTTTATGGAATTTCATAAAAGAATTTTTCAAGGTTGTGTGTATCTTATCAAGGTGAAATAATCTATTTGTAAGTTGAATGGTTGGTTGTTGATTTAAACTACTTAAACTACTAAATACTTAAAATGTGCATGCTGTTAGAATATTGTAAATAATAGAAAATATCTGTTTTAAACCTTTCAAGAAAATCCAGTTTATGATTTTCTAGGAAAATATACATTTTCATATCAATCATGGAAAAATAGCAGGATTTTGTTTAGAACTGTTAATTTTGATTGAGACAAATTGAAAAGGAGACAAAGTTAAATATAGGTTTTCTATATTTAAATCCTTAAAATGGTTTATAAGTGAACTAACCCATTGGATTAAATCTTCACAGCCACATAAAACATCATATAAACCTCCTTTGTCTCTCACAAGTGCAATATGTCTCCAAATAACCCCATATGCTGTAACAGCATCAAAAATCCTCTTTACACTTCACCTCATAGGAGCAATACCCACTTCTATGTTTTACAACAAGAGGATATATAGGGGCATGTGCGGTCATCTAGAGCCAAATGTCTCCTATCTAACCACAGGACAGGTAGATAGTGTATTTCAACCAGGATTTATAGCACACAACAGCATTAGCTAAAACCTATCAGGTGATGGTGATGGCTTAAAAAAAAAAAAAACATCCTGCTGGTGGAACCTGGCAAGATTGGAAAATTTAAACGATGGGAGGGGAGAAGATGTAGTGAAATGATGCTAGTTGGGGGTTCCTCAATAATAACACCAGTAGCCAACATGTTAGGCTGCACCAGGTGGTAAACTCCGTACACGGACATTTACACATGAACTTTTTACCCTATTTGTTTATGTCCTCCCATCTTTAAGTTCCCATCTCAGGCTAGAAAAGGCCAAAGGGAAGTGTAAGGGCATGGTGAGTTTTCAATCTCCTGCTCATAAATGACTTCAAGGGAGAGGTTAAACTACATGTGTGTGGGTCAGATTGCAGAGGGAGGAGTAGGAATACGTATCTCCTGAGATTAAGTGTGACACAACAGCAAGACTGTGTGTGTGTATGTGTGTGGTTAGGGGGGGTCATATATGATGGAAGATGCACACAACGTGCACCCTGTGTTGTCGGTAGGAGAGGTTAGAGTGATGAGTGCGTGTTTATAAAAGGATAAGGTTCATAATTGCTACGTTAAGTGCAGGTATTGAGTCTTTGCATGTGCCAGACTTTTAAAAGGTGCTGCGTCTGCAACAATCTTTCTTTGGGAACAGACACGCAAACACACACAAGTAGTATGCCACAGTTTCAGCTAAACAGCAGCGTCCAACAGGGTATAAATACTGCTCTGACACTTTAATGTCAGGGGATGGCTTCTCCTGGATTAGAAACTTGTAACCCACTGCAGAGCTTGACATTGCTAGGATGAAGGTGATGCAATTTGGAAAAAGGGGAAGGGTTGAAGGGGTGTGGGGCTATTATTGGAGGGTCTATGTTTGATGTATAAGGGCATCTAACATAGACTGTCCACTAGTAAGGGGCTATTAGATGCTGCTTTGAGACTGGCTTTCATCGGCACAGAGGAGTTGCTTAATCCCATGAGAAGCAGAATTCAGTTAGTCACAGACACGTTTAACCACATAATCCAAAACAGCACTAGAAACTTTACTTCAATTAAAAATGAAAACCACTTACAGAAAAATTGAGCGCTTTTCTTCTTTCCTTGATTCTATTGACAGTACTCCAAACCTGGAAGAAAGAAATAGACAAAAGCAATAAATATAAATATATTAATACTTAATGAACCACATTTAGTGAATAAAAAGAAGATTAAAAAGTTAACACTAAAAAGTAAGAGAAAAATTGAATATTATTAAGATTTGTCTAAATTCATGATAATGGAAGAGCTTGTGTGGCGTAAATGTGCATGTGAGGATGTTCCAGTGTGTCCCAGTGCTAATGGGACTTGAAAGTGACACATAGAGCTGGTTCACTAAGGAGACGAGTTCAAGCTATCATCTGTCAACATGGAGCGGAGGGGCCAACAAATGGAGCTATTCGAGGAGAAGGGACCGCCCTAGCAGAACAGATTACATTTTTACACTCGAGATGAAACTGTGTACTTGCACACCTTTATTTAACACATATATAACACCACAAAAGACTTCCACTGATGTGTTGTGACAGACACATATGTGTACATTGAAAAATATCAATCACTAAAAACTAAACGGCATAACTGTATGAGGAAAATGTCTGTAAAAATGAAGACGGTTTGGGACAGGCTTATTGTTTCAGCTACTGAAAAGGTAAATGGAAGACGAGTAATGTTAAACTAATGGAATAGAATAACTGATCATAAATGATATGAGTACCTTCATTAAAATGACATTTTGGCAGTTTAATATATTCAGGAGCTTGTTAGATTTACACATCTGCCTCTTCTAAGGAACCCGATATCTGCCTCTTCAGTCATTGTGTTTTTCCTTTTGTTTTAACGGCATAAAAAATTTCTTTCAGCTGCATTAATCTGTGCAGGCCTGTGCAGACGCCATTTTTTTGTACATCATGTAAATAGCATTTTGAAGTGTCTTGTCACCTAAATTTTACTTTATAAATAAACTTGCCTCATCTAACCTTGCCTCCTTTGTGGCCACAGTGACCAAAGACAGTTTTTCATGACTTTGTACCTGACTTTCAAACATACTCAATATAGAATAAAAACTTTAGCAGCAATCACACTGAGGTTTGAGAAATCACTTTGCAGGTTGTAAGTATTTTCATTTGAATATCCTCTAACTTAAATTTGCATGGTTTGGTTATAAGAATATGATCTGCGCATTTTTAAGAACACACACAAAAAATGTTGCATATGCTTCTTGCTGAATTGTACACACAAATTGCTTTACACCATATATAAAGATTTGCTCTTCTTGTGAAAAACTGTCAGCGTAGTGTAGCAAAGGACCCATACACAGTCACATAGGCAGGCTGAGGGAGAATAGTGAGTTGTGAAGTTTAATGTAATGTAAGATTACATCGAGATTAGGGTTACAAAGCATGTACGGCCTTGAAAAAGGCATGACAAAGACTGTTCAGCGAAAAAAGCATGGAACCAGTATTCAGCAGAAAAAAAGATGTAATAAATTAAACCTGTAATAAACTAAACTAAAATAATTTAGAGCAAAATGACAAAGAATAACAAATTTAAAGAAAAAACAATTAATACGAACATGGAAAAAATTGGTGTGTTGAAAGAGCTTTGTGCTATCTGATCATTATCAGTCACCTGATTTAGCATGATTGTTAATTTCTAGGCTAGTGACCATAGTCACCAAATTGGCTGTTAAGTAGACTATCATCTTGCTATGAGGCGGCATGGAGTTAAAGTATGCTAGCATGGTCCGAATAAAATCTGTGGCAGTTCTTGGTCTTGTGTTCTTGTGAATTGGAACAGTGCTAGGGCTGAGGCTGATGACATTTCACGAGCACATGAGAACACAAGGCTCTTTTACAGAAGTCAATCTGACCAACCATGTCTTGCACAAACTGCATCCACACCCAAAACATTCCCACTTAGTCAATCCAAAGGCTCCCACCATAGGAAAATTAGCTATTATAAAAAAGCTAACCAAATGCAGAGTAAATGTAAGTCTTTTTGCAATACAAAGAGAAATAAGTTGCTCCAAAATAATGCTACTAACTTACAAGGTCATATACGTAGAATGGTTCAGTTTTCAAAAACTGAATTCTGATCAAATAATTTTGGTGGTGTCATGATCTTGGCACTGATGACTGACATAATGGTTCATTTCATTCACCTGCCTAGCTCCACCCAGTTTCTCATCATTGTATATCTTACCCACCATCTCCTGCCTCTAATTAAGTTGCTTACTCCCAGTAATCAGTGCCATATTATTCGAGCCTTGGGTGAGAGTTCTCTAGCATACCTGTTGTTGTTCTCAGTGCCTGATCCTGACCAGTCTATCCTCAGACCTGAGTCTGCCTGTACCTGTTTTGGATTTGCTTGACTGACCTGTCTTCTGATTCCTTCTGGTCTCTACCTTTGGACTGAATCTGGGTCTGCCTCCTGACTTCGACTTGGATTTCCCCTCAGTGCCTTTTCGGATCTCTGATCTTCTGGTCTGGACTCCTATTATTATAATTTGTCACCGGCTTTGGCCTCTTCTTCTAGAAACTCCTGCCTTCCTTCATCTGCTTGGTTGTGTTTGTCAGCCAGATCAACAGTCTCCAAGCTCTTGCTCCTCGAGCTCTCTGGACAGCGTTCACCCGCATGCTGTTGTTAGCCATCCGGTTGGATTCTGCTCCTTCTTGTTGGCACAGACCGCACACTAAAACCAGAGATTCCAGCCTTTGACGCCCTTGTTGCTTAGCTGCATATCAGAAGAATGTTAATAAAAGCTTTTGGGAATTACTCTAATCTGTCTGCTTTGAATTCTGGGTCCTCATTTCTGAGCCTTGACAGGTGGTGCCTTCTATTATGTGTTGTTGTAGATCTAGAGTTGTAGTCTGATTTTTATATTGCTGTATTACTAAATCATATTATAAGATTTTTATATTGCTGGTCATTTGTTCCCTTTTTTCCTTATGAAAAGTATAACTTTTTATAACTTTATGATAATTAAACATTTTAATAACCTATGGTAAATTGCATAGTGTGTATTAAGAGATGTCATATGGTGCAGCTTTTATTTGTGAAGGGAGACTTCAATGATAACCTTTCTGGTACAGATGAGCTCTGCAAGCCTGTGTGTGTCAGTGCTATTTTCGTGCACATCATCTGTATTAACTGTAAATTTGTAGCGGCTAGGCACTCATCACAACCACCTATCCCTGTCCAGCCCACAACATTAGTGAATGTACATCACGGCTCATTGCTTCATTAAGTCAACAAGAGTTATAAATTATGACACCACACAAACCACACATTTCAGAGACAGCATGCGTATACAATGGATGCTTTGCATACAAACCACTGCTGAAGGCCCAATATATAGAGAAAAGGGCAGAATCAGATGTGCAACCTGTTATCATTTCTGACAACACCCTAATAAGGCCTTCAATATGATACATATGTGAGTAAAACAACACTGTCTAACATTATTTAAATTGGAAATAACGACTTTGGGATTTCACTGATATCAAAAGCAGCCTGCATGCTGAGACAATTACGTGACACAACTTAATTAATCATTTGACAATGAGGGGAAGGGCATTGTTTTAGATTATCTTAATGTATTTAAGGTGGTATGAGCAGACTCAAGGTTTAGAAGTTTTACATAGCATGCAAATGCTATTCAAGCAATTTCCATATAAAAGTACTGCACCAAACAACACCTGCCCAAATCCTTGGAGTTGATAGAAATAAAGGGTCATCAAAGCATGGAATCACAAGGTGACCACCAAGGAAAAGGTAATTGCATGTATAATGGAGAGCTATCTTCGGGTAATTAGCAATTAAGCATTACATTTTCAGTAAATAGCAGTAGATGAAGTCTATACTCCATACAAAGGCTTGTTATTATTAAGCTTGAAAGTAAGCTGATGAATACATATTCCGACTTTCAGGCAAATGTTAATTCACTACAATATTTTTGCATATCAAAGGAACATTTCCTTGTGAATTTATTTACAAAGGATTAACAATCAAAAGTACAATTAAAAAATGAGTAATGTCAATCATTTCTGCACACCTGACAGGATATCAGTGGTCATTTAATGTTTCATGTCAACGTGGAAAATTGAAAACACATTAAAAGTGAACCAGAAGGCCAGTATACATTGTTTTACTCACTAGAATATCAACCCCTGGCCAGAACCAGAGGATGGGTCCAGCCTGAAGGGTGAATTTAAAATTTGAAAAAAAAAAAAAAAAAATGGACAAACATGAATTTATATTTATTAAAGTGCTTGCCATCCATCCTTCCATCTCCAGTTGCACTGTAGAAGACATGTCATATCACCGAGTCAGCCTGAATGCCAGATGGCAGCAGTGAGTCCTTTGCAGTTAAGTTTAAATTATGCACTCTACCTCATTCTCAACATGCTGCCACAACATTTTTAGCAAAAAAAAATCAAAAAGTTGATATAGTATGTAAAAATGTACAAAAAAAACCACAATGTCCATGACCTTCATTTGGGAAAGTCAATGTGTTTGGAACAAGTTTCCTAAAAAATATATTTGTTATGAGACCAATCACGGAAAAAATATGAAAGCTTGCAGGACAACTCACAGGAGACAAGATCACTGAATTGCTGGATATTTTCACGCAGCTCAGAGGTCAGTGAAGCAGCTGTAAAAGCCCTAGATACTAACCAATGAGCGTTAGAGTCAAGGCTGTATGCTGGTGGTGAGTTTATTAAAACATGCGTGATGAATATTGCTGATCTCCTTTGTATGAAGTAGTAATGGGTATGTTACTCACAGTAAAGATAATTACAAGTCATAGTTAATAATAACTTCTACCAAAAATTAACAGGATTCAAAACTCAGTTACTGCACAGTCAGATAACAGGCTATTACGTAAAATAACTATGCAGTTACTTCTTATGTTTCAAAAAGTGTGACGCATCAATTATTTGATCACATCAAAAGTTGTATTGCTCTAAAATGGGAAAAAAGATTTTGGAGATAACTTTGTTCAAGCTGTAGTTACGCCTCTATGTCAGAAGGGCGTTGCTCTGTAAGACAGAATACAGATGTGACAGGCAGCCTTCTCCTTTATAGT